TTACGGATGATGCAGGTACTTTATATCCTACTTTGATCCGGAATTTTTTATAGTGTACGGCAACTCTAGTCCTGTTTGTGTACTTGTTGAACTTTCACAAACTTGTTTTTGTATTTTAGTTTTATGAAAGAATTATTTGAACGTTTGTATAGCAATGTTTCGTTAGACCTTTTCTGATATTTCGTAGTAATAACGAAATCATTTTAAATTGTTTTTGAAACTGTAATTCGTCCATCTGTATCGAAGATAATGTTTTTAAAGCCCAATTATCAAATTTTTTATTTAAAAAATCTCTGTGTTTGTTCAAATATTTTTCGAAACTTTACAAATATTAAATATTAATTTCTAATGAGTTTTGATGGTGGAATGCATATTCGTTTTAGGTACATACATTTTATCAAAGTGTTTAAACCAATCTTGGCATCATTATTATTAAAAAAAATCTGTACTCTGGTATTCAAAATTATTTGAATTAAATGCAATTTCGTACTAAACACAATTATATATTATCAATTTTATATTCCTATTATCTATTTAATATTTCTATTATCTTTTTCATATTCGTATTGCCTAATTAATATGTTTAAATGCATTCTTACTGTTCTTAAAATAAATAAAGTTTATAATAATTCTTATAAATATTTATAATAATATGTGTACGTACTTATATTTCCATATCAAACTTAGATACGATTATTAAACACAATTATATATACCAAGAATATTTAAATATAATAGCAACATAAATGCTGCTATAATATTTAATATTTATATAATATTAATAATATTTATATAGCAACAAACAGTGCTAGCAACATAAATTCATAATTTTAAAATATTATAGCTAGCAACATAAAGCAATATTATATACAATATTAAGCAAGGCTTACAATAGACATGAAAAATTGTTCCGTCATAAAATTGCAACTGTTTTAATTTTGTTATATTTGAAATAAAACTTTTCAAACACTGATGAAATATTTTATTTATTGAGGCAACAAAATAAAAAATACAAAAGTATCAAAATGCTGAACGTGTAGTTATATAATTTTGTGCATATAATTTACAATTCAGAATATTACAAGACTTTGGTTTAAAGCTGTACTTGAATTAACTTTTTAAAAGTAATTCCATAAATTCATTTGATTTCACATTTTTTCTGGTAAACCAATAAAGAAATAACAATAAAATATTTTTTTATGATTCAGAAATTTGACGCACAATTACTGGAAACACGTGATTGATTCGAATTGAAAATAAACGAAAGTTTAATAATTTATACACTAAGAATCTCTTTATTTACATAATTGCTTTCATGAGTAAACTATTCGACT